TACTAGCTTAGATAGAGATGTGATCATCCTACTCTGCCCAGCGCTTGTCAGGCCGCACCAGGAGCACTGTGTCCGCTTCTGATCCCCACAACTCAAAAAAGACGTGGACAGAGTGGAGAGGGTCCAAAGGAGGGCCACAAAGATGATCAAAGGGCTGGAGAACCTGCCCTGTGAGGAAAGACTGAAGGAGTTAGCTCTCTTCTCCCTGGAGAACAGAAGGCTCAGGGGGGGACCTCACACAGTATTCCAGCACTTAAAGGGCGGCTACAAGGAGGATGGAGGCTCTCTCTTCACAAGGAGCCATATGGAAAAGACAAGGGGCAATGGGTACAAGTTGCACCAGGATAGGTTTCATCTCAATATAAGAATTTTTTACAGTAAGAACAATCATCCGCTGGAACAAACTCCCCAGGGACGTGCTGGAGTCCCCATCACTGGTGGGTTTCAAGATGCATTTAGACAGGGTGCTAGATAATCTCATCTAGTGTCCTTTTCCCATGAAGGGTTGGAGCAGGTGATCTTTCGAGGTCCTTCCAACCTGGGCTGTTCTGTGATTTTATGATTCAGTCATTTGCTTTGTCCATCAAGTCCTTTAATGGCCAGCTGTCAGAGAGGGATCTTCTCTGCCCTTTGTTTGCTCAAACTGGGGAAGGACTGCAAGGTGGATAGGCAGAGAAGAGAATTAAAGGGTGTTCAGATTACACAAGCACTCCAACCGTGGACAGCCAGGTCCCCACCAGCCCTTGGTGCCCCTCAGCCTCATTGGGATTTTCTTAGGAGCGTGATTCATAGCTTCATGGAGGTCAGCAGATGGACCGGACTAGCGGTGGCAGTGTCGGGGGATAGTCACAGCATGATCCTGTGACACTGCTCATGATCTGGGCAATGAAGGACGCCCTGGCACCTCAGGTGACTTGGCTGCAGGGCTATAGATGAAGGCAGTAATTACCCAGGGAGTAGAAAGGATGGTCGTTAGCCTCCCGGGTAACAATTTGCAAAATGCTGAAACGTATTTTCCTGGAAGGAGTGGATGAAGTGACCGCCATTTTGATGCCGATTACCTTCACCCCGGGCGTGCTGCTGGAGAGACGGGGGTCCGGCTGTTCCTTAGCTGGGGAGGTCGCTGCCCCCGAAGCTGCTGGGGGTTTTGTGTCCCCGCAGTGAGGCTCTGCAGCGCGGAGCTTCCTTCCTTCTCAGGCTCTGACAGCCTGTAATCATTTTATCTCTCAGGATTAATGGCACCAAGCAATAAACTCGCATCCTAATTATTGTAATTATTTCTTTCTTTGTACGTCAGCCTTGGTAACGATGTTTTTACAGCTGATGGGATGGAAGGGAGGGGAGAAAAGAAATATTGTCACAGTAATGAAGAGAGAGCAATGAGCATACTCCTTTCCACTCACTTTCCTCAAGGTTTTAGAGCCCACTTGAGTTTCCTATTCCCAAAGGTCCCAGAAATTAGCAGTGATTGCCCTAATACTGCAAAGTAGCAACAATCTAGGACTGAATTCCTAATTGATCTTAAGTACCTACCTCCCACTTTAGCCCCAGAGATGCCTGAATGTCTCCGAAGTCCCCTGCACACGCAAGTACCCACTGCGTACTTAGAACTGCCTATTTCTTGATAGCAGGAGTAGCTCACTGTTTTTCTTAACCTCAGGCATGACTCACAAGCTAAGCATTATGCCAATCTTATCTATGGGAATTGCATACAGAGGGGGCAGAAGCTACTCTAATCGCCATTTATACAGTCTTCCAGAGGGTGGAATTCAGCATCCATTTCTTCCCCAACATATTAGCACCATGATGGGAGACTACAGTATTGAGCTGCTTGTCGCAGCCGCTGGGCAGGAATTTCTTTCAGTGCTGTAGCCCAGGTGCTGGAGAACAAGAGCAGTGTTCACCCACTCGCTGTAACCCCTAATCCAGAGCATGGGCTGGGGAAGAACCCGGACGCAGATTGTTTCGGGAAGGTGTGCTTGGCTACTCAGCTGCTCTAAGGTGGCAGCAGCTCTGGCTTAGGGTAGAGCTAATGTCCTCTGCTACATGCCACAGAGGACAATTTACTAGAAGAAATGTGGGCAGCTCAGATACTATAGAGGCATTTATAAAGCACCCACATCCCCGTTTAGAGACCTAACACTAGATGCCTAAGGGGATACTGGGCACTTAAGGCCAGACTTCCACTACGCAGCACGCAGGCAGCTAGGAAGGGCTGGTGGTTGCTTGGTTCCTGCTCCCAGGGTCACCTACAGCGTAGATGGAAAGGTCTCCGCACAGAGTCCTCCCTCTGTCCATCCCCTTCTTCCCATCCAGATCAAGAGCTCTGTGCAGAGCAGTCTCCTCAGGTAACGAGCAGTAAGTATTATGCCCCGTATGTAAGTGGTAACAGCCACTAAGGCCCTCTCCTGTGCTGGTGTGAGGTGCTGTCATCTACACCAGCGTGTCTACACCGGTAAATTAAAACTTAGCTGAGGCCAGTAACAGGCAGTGGACCTTGATCATCGACACTGATGGAACGGGCCCTGGGCTCCATGCACCACACTAGCACTTCCTTTAATTACCCATTATTGATAATTCTGCAGCCGGATCTTTCCTGGGTATCTTTTCTTCTTTTGGGGGAGTTTCTTTGTTTCTTCCCACTTCACCCAATGAAGTTGCTAAATTAATCCATTTGATTTTTGGGGGTCAGGTTTTGTTTAGGTTTTTTTTTTTTTTTAATGACTGATCAGCATTTCATTAGAGAACCAAGGCAGCAAAGCTGCTCTGTACTACAGTCCATCTCTGACACTGAACCCTCTTCTGCCCGGCACATCCCAAACCACATCCCAGTTCAAATAAGCTTCCATCTCCTTCAGCTTCACTGTTAGGAAAACAAAGTGAAACACAGTCAGCAACCACTACCTCATGGCCTCATTTCTCAACTCTCATCCTGCTGGTTTCAGCAGCCCCTCCACCACATCGGGACTGCTTCAGCATGGGGTGGGACCATCCTCACCCCCTCCCTATGCCATATTTTGCAAGCTGTAATTCCCAGCCTGGGAATTTTGTCTGATTTACTGGGTCGGCTGGTCCTGCCACCTCCACTCCCTCCTGGTCACAGGGACCAGAGCCCACCCTTCGGAGCTGGGCTCGTTCTCCTTCAGAGCTGTCTTTCAGGATGACATTTGCTTTACTCAAGTCCTTGTTCTTCCCCATTTCTCCCTGACGTTTCAAAAATAATTACCAGTGGTTCAGTAAGTTCATTAGCAAACTCCCTCAGGACCCTGGGCTATGTATCATCCAGCCCTGCTGATTTGTGGATAGGCTCTAATCAAGTGTTTCAAGTCTCTCTCTCCTTCCTCCTCCTTTCAGATTAACAGTTATTTTGACAAGATTCTCATTATTTCCTATTTCCTGGCGGTACCCAGGGACTAGGCTTATTTGAGTCCTCACTGTTGTCATTGTGGGTTTATTTTTAACCTCAGGCTCCGCTTCTCCACAAGGACATCAGAGTTTTGTGTTCTTCAGAAACACGTGGTTTTGTTGGTGCCATTTTAGTCTCGGTTCATCCTGGGTCTTCCAGCGCTCTCTGTCTTTTGCCTTTATCACTTTTCATTCTTCTTCCCGCTGCTCCAAAATTAGCTAAAGAAATAACTTCGTTTTTACCAAGCCTACAGAGTTACTACCCTTCTCCAGCTTCTTAGATCTAGGCCACCTTTTTGGCTGCAATTCATTTCTTGTCTTCCCCTCCCTCTTTTTCTCCCTGCTGTCTTCTGGCATGCATGCACTCTCCCAAGTCTCCATTTTCCTTCCCAACACAACCATCCACCGGCTGCTCTTGGAAGGGACCCAACCACCAGAAGACCGCGTGGAAGGGACCCCAACCACCAGCAAAGCCACCGCCAACCCCATCCAGCTTAACAACATCTTTAAATGTTGGGGGGCAAACTCAGGCTTCCCGGCAGATGAAAAGCAGAGCCGCCCCCACTTTTGGGTTCCCCCCGCGCAGTGGGAAGGCAGCATGGAGAACACGGCAGCCCTGCATAGGCTTTTCCCACCCAGCTGCCTGCTGCCTCTGTCGCCCTTCTGCTCTCTCCAAATACACACGTGGGAGCCCAGCCCCTCGTTGTCCGTCTTCATTAGCCCAAAGCAAGTGTCATGCCCCACGCACGATTGCTGGAGAGGCTGAGGGGTTAAGTGGAAGGAGGAGAAAGAGGTGAGGCTGAAGGGCAATTTTTCTTTCAAATACCTTCCACACCTATGCACCTTCCCTCCTATCAAGAGCCTATGGACCACGGGATTAGCCCAGCCTCATTATCCTTGATTTGCAAGAGATGTCTGAAGTCGAACACTTTCATTTTAAAAAAGAAGTAAGGTTTGTTGTCTTCTTCAGATGCCAACATATAGCTCCCCTGCCAATCCCTCAGCTGCACATCCCCAACCATCAGCTTCGTGTGCCCCGGGTTGGCTTTCCACGTGACACCACCTCCCCTGCGTGCGCAAGGAGGACAAGTCAGCAGGACCTCCAGGCTCCTGTGCCAGAGCGTGACCATGGAAGGGGCTGAAACAACAGAGCATTTTTTGGAGGTTTTTTTCCCTGCTTTGCAGCATTCATTGATAATTAGAGGAGTAACTTGAAGCAAGGGTTTATTCCAACTGAGGCAGCAGGGACCCCAAATTGCTTGGATTGCTTTTGCACGTGCATGGTGTTAGAGGGACGCATCGTCCTGCTACATTTGCTGCAGATCCTACATGTGGGCTGGAGAAACATCTGACTTGGACTAATTTCTGTTGTTTAAATTAGAGACAACATTTACCTACCTGGCGGGAACACAAAAAGGATTAATTTGGGGGAGAGAAAGGGAGAGGGAAGAGAAATGCACACACAGTTTTATATAGATAAAAGGTGTATTCATCGTTTACCCCTTGTTAAGAAAGATTGGGTTTGTTTTAAGCCTAAAAAGACAATTGTTGGGCAAGACGACTAACTAAATCTTTCTTTTTTTAAAAAAATACAGCGCTGTGGTTCTCGACGGAAAAATTTATGCCACTGGTGGGATCGTTAGCAGCGAAGGACCTGCCCTGGGAAACATGGAAGCCTACGACCCTAAAACGAATACATGGACACTTCTACCAAATATGCCCTGCCCTGTTTTTCGACACGGCTGCGTAGTAATCAAGAAGTACATTCAGAGTGGCTGATGTTACCCAGGAGTTGGATGGAGAACTGTTTGTATCTGTTGAAAGCAGGCAAGAAGAATACTACTACTTAAGAAACAAAAGCAGCAAAGCCAGCCAGTGAACATATTGCTCTAAAGTCTTGAATAGTGTCTACATTGAATGTAGAAAAATCATCCTCACCTTTTGGTGAACAAGGAGCAGAGAGCTCCGTGCTATGTAAGATATTGTAACTTAATAATACAAGGGTGTCACTAGATGTTATAGTGACACTTGTTCTGGACATCGGCTTTTGGTCAACCCAGGTGCAATAGAATTTCACATATTTTTTAAGCTGGGGAAGAGAGGAAAAAAAAAAATCTGCATTTTACTTCTAGAGCTCAAGCTTGATTCTTAAAATAACCATGCAGATTAGTTTTACTATTACACTTTAGGCATCTATCTATTTGAAAGGTCAAAGTGTCCTTACCACTTTGATTCCTACATTTGTTTTTAACAAATACATGCTTTTCAATACCAATGACTGAGAGAAATCTTGTGTGAGAGATGGCTTACGTTGATGTCAGTCTTCCATCAGATCAAACGAATCTTTCAGTTCTCTAGAGCAGAGCCCAGAAGGGGGGTGAGGTGGGGACTGGGGAGAAGAAGAATAGCCGTTGGTAATAAATTCCATGTAAAATGATGAAAAAAAAAAAAGATCTGTTGGGCTGGATGAGTTTCTGCTCCCGGTGATAGTTGTGTAGGCACGTGTGGCCATGCCCACAGGTGGTGGTGGGGCTTCTAAACCTTTTCCTCCCGGTTTCTGCTGATGAGCGAACTTGGCAGTTCTCGATTCCTGTAATGCAAAATGAAAACGGTTGCGATTCCAGAGGCATTCTCCTGATAAACCCGCTCTTCACTTCTGATTGGGATCACGTTGAAACACACAGTGTAGTGTGAGATTTCCATGGTTTCATCAAATGGAGAAGATGCCTCCTGTTGTGGCTACGCGCTCAGTTTCGGCTCTCAACCAAAATTCCTTACCTTGGGATATGCGCCACTATCTTTTATGTAAAGTCTGAGAAGTTTTTTTATTTTATTTTTCAAGTTTCCCCATAGGTGTGGAAACCTTGTACTTCTCTTATTTACAGATTTTAAACACACGAGTTTAAATCCCATGGTAGAAAAATGCATAGACTTAAGCCCAGTATAAGAGACTTAAAATGATTACTATGTAGAGTTGTAAGTATATGCACAGCACAGGGGTTATATTTTTATATATATTAAAATATTGTCTATCCAGAGAGCATTGTGATGTGGAAATTCTTTATAAATTTATACATAAAAGGATCAAATGGGAGATGGACCGGGTAACATAAAGGGGGCAGGGGAAAGAATCTTAAAATTCACAAATAGGCAGTAACCCCGAGCTGAGGATTGTCTGATTTCTTTCCAAGTAGAGGGAACAAAGTTGCCATACTTGCCTTTGCAGACTCAAATCCCAAATGCCGTGACGGTAATTCAAGAAGGAGGGTCCTACACAGGGCGTGGGTGAGATCTTACAGTCAATATCTAGTTGAATTTCATACCAAATACGCTAGCCTTTTTATATGGAGGGAGGTCTGCCTACAGCTTTGGGGAAATCAATGCAGATGGTTAGCTAATCATCTTATTTTATTAATAATCATTTATAAAATAAAGGAAAAAAACAAAATTTGTATCTTGCAGTATTTAAAGAAAAAGTGCTCAAGTTAGCTGAGTCAAGCTGTAGGGTGACTCAAGTCTCATTTTGACAGTGAGGTTCCAGCCTTTGTTATGCAGTTGTTTTATTTATTCTTTAATGAAAAAAATAATAAGCACAACAAAGTTATATACTAGTATGTCATTTAAAGTATTTATGTGAAACAGGGTGCAAGTGTGAACCTAAAGATTGGAGCACAAGTTTCTAACTGCCTGGGGCAGGACTAATTTTAGTGTTGGTGTGTGTCTGCCTCCAAAGGAGGTGCTACCTGTCAACAAGACCTAAACACATTCAACATTTCCAATTTAGCTTATTTCTTCATTTCTCACACTGGAACAAAACTGGCTATTTCTGTGAATAATATTAAAAACAGGGTTATCTGTAATGGTATTGTATATAGTTTATGTTTACTGTTAAGTTCTTGTTATATTATAATAAATATATTTATAGATCTAGATTCAGCATCCAGATTGGATTAATTTTGTCACGATTGAACAAGAAACAACACTGCATGAACGGTGACTTCAGGTTCCATCCCAGCCATGGATGAAAATGTGTTCATTCCATCCAGCTAGCTTCTCTGGCAAATCCAAAAATGTATTGCTAATATTTAAATGCTCGGTAGCTTCCAAAGTACTTCCATTCTCCTTTCCGAAAAAATTCTTAGAAGTGATTTTGGATTTTATTCAGCAAGACTGGTTCTTCATCTATTTTCCCAAACTTACTATTAAGTAAAGAACAAAAGGGCTCAAGACAGTTTAAGAAACTATCTTGAAAAAAACTGATAAACAGCTTTTTTCTTTTTTTTTTTTGTTTTGTTTTAAATGAAAGCTAGGATTTGTACTGCACTGCTGCTGCGATGTCTAAAAGATGAAAGCCACTTTTGCCCTATGGTCAAAATTCTTTCGCATCCAGAGCGGGAGCTCTGTAACTCGCTGGATACATCTTTCAGAGAGCGCTTAAGTGCAGCAGTTCATGGGTTCTTTGATGTTTCATTAGGGTGTCATCTGGTAGTTGTAAAACTGGATATGGAACAAAGATGAGCCAAATATAACTAGTCTCAAATACCACCACAGTGGAACATTTCAGCTGGATCTTATGAGGTAATATCTGTTCTACACATTAACAGGAAGAATCTAACATATACTGAAATCGTCTCCGGTTCTTGGAGTACATCTATGCGAGTATTTAAGAGCAGGAACCGCAGTTTCTAAAAGTTTTAGTTTAGGCTTAGTGGCTGAGGTTGAACAGCCTGTGAAGATTACTAAAAGCCTCGCAATTCAATATTATACAGCCATGCTGCAATAATCCAGACCAAGCGGTACGAGTTGCCAACCTTTTCATCAACACTCTGCAAAGATCTCTTACTCAGCACTAGTCAATAATACTTGGTAGGATGAACAAGAGACAGGCTATTTGCTTTACTTGTATGTGAAAATTATTTTAGTTCCCCTCTGGGAAGCCGGCTGAGCGCTTTTGCCAAATGAATCATGTGCACCTATCTGCTCAGAGATTTTTCTTCTTAAAAGCTTTAAGAAATTCAGGGGACAGGCTGGCTCAGCAGCCTGATAATGATAAAAACTCTTTTGTTCGCTGGTTTGACTCTCTCCTGGCTCACCTGGGAAGGAGAGTGATCTCCAAACGGGGCTGTTCGCAGCGTTCAGGTAATCACCTACCCCTGGCAATTTACACAAGTCATCTGCCTTTCTCCCATCGTTTCATCTAGTGGCAAACACACCGTACTAATACAACCTCAGCAACCCCGTCTTTTAATTAACTGCAGCTCGGTGTTAAGGCTGAGCTTAGCACTGTGCAGTTGGAGCAAGCTAATTAGAGCGTCATTACACTTCAGCTTGCCCTTGGCGGAGTCCAGACAAACAGAACGCCGGCACGAGCACCCACTTTCCGCAGCTGCAGGGATTATCTGGGAGAGGAGCCGCAGGCTGCACGAGTACCGTTACGTTTAATCAGCGGAGACGGCAAAGGCACAAACTGCTTCAAGTGCCTTCTCGTGAAGAACGTCTCTGAAAGCTGGAACCGATCCCAAAGCTTTTCTCCGCTGTCTTGAATGCAAGGGCAAGGTCTCAGAGCCATACTGCCTCCCCATCACCAACTGAAAAAGGTGACTTAATACTCAAGTGGGGGATAAACCTACAAACAGCGTGTGCGGTCAAGTCCTGGCAGGCTGCAACCTGTGCCAGGTCCCTAGGAAGACGCCGACTCTGCATCCACTTCGACGCTTTTACAACTTGTCGCGCTAATACAAGCTTTTTAAATTGGATGAGACCCTTAAGCTCACCCCTTAATGCCTTCTTTCCCATTTCCAGTCGGCTCAAAAACAGGAGCCGAAACACGCTTTCGGCTGAAGCAGAGATGCCAGCACGTACGGAAAGGCAGCAGTAAGTTCCCATCGTCAGTGAGTGTTCTGGGTTGATAACTTTAGACTGCAGAAAAAGCCAGAAAGAAAATGGTCTGGAGGGAAGCAGATGGATGTGTCTCAGGCACAGTGTTTCCATCACTCATTACATTAAGCTGGACAGCAATACCAGAACAGAAACACCGTTTTTCCTCTGAAAAGCCAATCCGTTTGAGGCATGATTAAACACTCGCTGAGGTTAGAATTCATGAAAGCAAGAGCTGCCATCACGGGCTCCTTAGCCGAGCTGTGCAAGCATGACAAGCAGACCAGCACGGTCTCCAACTGCTGGAGACTGGAAACAAAAAAGAAAGTGGCAGACTACCTTGAAAAACGACTCTCCCTTTGCTACTCACTGGTGTTTTTTCTTTTGATAACACACACTACTTTTAGTAATTCCTGTTTAGCTACCGGATTTCTTAAAGAGTAACAAATTCCAATTTTCTTTATCTAAACAAATTCCGCTTCAATCGGTAGCAGCTTTACACACAGAATTAAACATTTTGGCTCAGTTACTACCTGGGAGAAGGAAGCTCCAGTGCTGTCATCAAGCCAAATCTGCCTCTGAATTTTTCATTAGTAGTGGTCCATACAATGAAGGTTTGAAAGGCTGCCTGCTGCTTTTAATTTAATCATCTGTTATTTTTGAACCGCATTCTCTTTTCCTTCAGAGTTCACATCCCAGATCTTACGCAGCAAGATTCATATTGGCAACGGTATCAAACTCTTTCACGACCTGTCCAGAGAACAGCACTAGTAACCCAGGTTTTTTAACAGCTTGACAGGGAACTTCAGCATGTAGCTGGTAAGCAAATTAATACAGAACTAGGAACTGTGATGACAACTGGGGCTAAGCTGAAGATTGCTTAAAGTCATGCCTCGCACCACAGGCAATACACACACTTCCTCCGTCACCCGGCATCAGTGACCTTTTCTCACATTTTTGCGGCTGAAGAGCAGACACCTAACTAAGGTCACCAGTGACACTCCTACATAAGCTCCAGCTTCCCACCTCATTAAAAAAATATATGTTTATAAAAATAATAGCTCTTACAGGTAGAAAGAAACCAATTCCTCTCCACATCTTAGGAACTTAAACAAAGCAGTCCCTAATTTCTAATACAATGTCCTTGTGCTGGTGGACAGCATCAGGGTACGGATCGGTGAAGTGAATAGTGAAGGTGACGCACCAAATGCTTTAAGTCTTAGACTATAATGAGCATTACGCTCTACCAGAAACACTGTCCCTCCACTCAAGTAAAAATAATCAGCTCTCGCAAAGCAAGCCTAAATTTCCAAGCCCGCTGGAATTTCTGTAGCCACTGTTTCCATTAAAAGAGAACATCTTTTAATAAGTTATTTGCTTTCATGTCCAGTGAATGTGGTGCTCCATTACTTGTTGACACAGAGTTCAATTTTACCTGCTTCAATTTATGCCCAGCTTTTCTGCAAGCTGCCCGCTATGCACTGGAACATACAAATGCCACGCACAGCCTTTCCAGGGAAAATGAAGAGTGGCATTGTGGCAGGGAGTGCTTGGGAATGGCTCGCGTTTCTGTTTTCTATTTGGCAAGAGGTATCCCCTATGGGGATTAAGACACGCAGACTGCCTACTACCTGGAGAGGATATTAGACTTTCCCTAGTGGATAAGGGTTTTCAAAGTCAGGAGGAAACCGAACACTCAACCATCTCGAGAGCGCCCAGAAGTCTCTGCCCTGCTGACATTCATTTTTAATAACACATGGGTATTTCAGAAAGAGTGCTGATAATGTGACAGTTATCAAAAGGGCAAGTGAAATGACTGGGTAATTACAGGACATTCACCTGACATCAATCCCAAGTAAAAATGGAAAGATTATATCTAACTAAACTGATCATGAATCAAAGAGATAAGAATAAATACGATGATTTTCTAGAAAATCGAGTGTATCACACAAACCTGATCTCATGCTCTGACAGGATTACACATTTGATTGATAAGGTAATAGATTTTCAACAGCATGTGACAAAATACTTCAACTTTCTCCCTGTACAGTATTCAGACAGCAAATATCGAACAGGCTAAGAATAGGCAGATTAATTGAGGAATATCTAATCTGTTCGAGTAATTGTCAATTTGGTATTATCGGTGTCTTTCTAAGGGGGGAATCCTCTTCTTCCAAAGTTCTTGAAGGAAAATGTTGACCTTGTAACAGACCTGTGGAAACAGAGATTAACAGAGCAAAAGGTAATGAGGACCAAACAAGTCACAGGTACTGGGCTGGCTCTTCTGGCTGGCTAGGACCACTAAAATAAAACTTCTTTTCATAAAGCTAAGCAGGGCCTCAGAGAGGTGGGAATGAGGAAGGCTGACATTCAGGATGGAGAACAGCATCGTGAAAAGCTGCAAGTCTGAGAAGAGTCAAGTAACAAGAGCTCCCAACCCAATTTCATGGCATAAAAGGACTAAATTGATCTTTGGATGTGTAAAAGGGGGAACACGAGTAGGAATCAGTGATTTTTAGCTCTATATATGGCACTGGTGGGACCGATGCTGGAATATCACATCAATTTCCTCTGTGAACAAATCTTTTTGAAGATGTTGAAAAATTGACCTACTGCAGAGAAGAGCCACAAAATTGACTTAAAGGCTGGAGAAAATGCAGTGAAAGCCATAAAGAGCTCATTCTGCTCAGCAAAAAGAAGACTGAGAGGCTACTTGATCACAGTGCATTAGTATCTTGGGGGGGAGAATCTATGTATGAAGAGTCTAGAACATAAAGAGAAAACAAGAAGCAGTGCCTGGAAATAGAAGCCGGACTAAAACAAACGAGGAATAAGGCACGTGTTTCTACCCATGAGCTTAACCACTTAACCACCAGCTCAAAGAGCAGGGTAGACGTACAAACTCTGCAAATCAAGACTAGATGCCTTTCTTGAAAAGACTGTTAAGCCATACTTAAGTTAGTAGACCCTGCGCGTGCATGAGATTAAGTCATATGTGCCACAGCATCAGATTCAACAGTGTTTTCTGCTGACATTATTCTCCATGAATAAACCC